TATATTTTTGATCAGGATGACATTCTGTGCTTTCATGGTCGTTACTGCGTCCCTAAAGATGATGAGTTAAGATGGGTTATTCTTTAGGAGGCTCATAGTAGTCCTTATACCATGCATCTTGATGGGGACAAAATATACAAGAATCTCAATGAGCGATACTTTTGGAGTGGCATGAATAGTGATATTTCAGATTTTGTGGCGAGGTATCTGACTTGTCAACTGGTTAATGCAGAGCACCAATATCCGTCGAGTTTGTTTTTGTCTATTAAGATTCCTAAGTAGAAGTGTGAGTATATTACAATGGACTTCGTTTCTAATCTTCCTCTGACTCCTTCCAAAAAGGATTCTGTTTGGGTGGTTGTAGATGGACTCACCAAGTCAGCTCATTTTATTCATGTTCGGGTTAATTATTCTTTATACAAGTTGGTTAAATTTTATATCTCTGAGATCGTTAGACTCCAAGGAGTTCCATTGTCCATCATCTCTGACCGAGATCCTAAGTTTACTTCTAGGTTCTGGAAAGCTTTACACGAGGCTCTGGGTACTCGTTTGAATTTCAGTACATCTTTTCACCCGTAGACTGATGGTCAATCTGAGTGAGTGATTGAGGTGTTGAAGGATATGCTACGGGGTTGTGTGATTGACTTTCGTGGTAGTTGGGATATCAAGTTTGATAGGCAGAAATCTTATGTAGATCAGCGATGAAAGGATATCGAGTTTGAGGTTGGGGATCAGGTCTTTTTGAAACTATCTCCATGAAAGAAAGTGTTGAGATTTAGACATAAGGGTAAATTGAGCTTGAGATTTATTGGGTCATATCGTATTCTGAAGAAAGTCGGACATGTTACTTATCAGCTTGAGTTGCCTCCCCAGCTCAGTCGTATTCATGATGTTTTTCATGTATCCATGTTGAGGCGATATCATCTAGATCCAGGTCACATCATTCAGATTGAGGAGGTAGAGTTGAAGCCTATTTTGTCTTATGAGGAGCCCGTTCAGATTTTAGATTGAGATATGAGAATTCTTCGGAATAGGCATATTTCGATGGTCAAAGTTCAATGTAGTAACTGTGGCCCCTCAGAAGCTACTTGGGAGACATTGGAGTCGATGAAGGCTCAGTTTCCACATCTATTTCCATCAGGTAAATTTTGAGGATGAAATTTCTTTTAAGGGTGAGAGTTGTTACACCCTAAATTAGGGCCTAAAAACTTTCTTAAAATTCTTTCGAGGACTAAATTGAAATTTTAACTAAATTCGGGGAAAGTAAAATTTTGATTAAATTCAAATCTAAATTCAGAAAATATAAAAAATTAGAGGACCTAGAGTGTAATTTTACCATTTTTTAGGGACTATATAACCCCCAAATCTAAAAAACTTTCTCATTTGGAAACTCAATTTTCTCTCTCTTCAAACTTTTTTCTTTTAGCAAAGAAACTTCAATCGTCGTTGATTGTTATTTCGTTTTCGACACCTCCCGCACCATCGTGTTCCTTTCGTCGTCCTGAATCCACCGGTGTCCACCATGTCTCCGTTATCACCGGCTTGTGAGGGGGTGATGAAGATACAGTTTTCGAAGTTTTGAAATCAAGCTCTTTGTCGTTCAACGTTGTGAACTGAGCTTGGAAAGTGTCTCAAAACTCCTTAAAAAGTACATAATATTTTTTTCATAATTTTTTCGACCCCCAAAAGCTCTACACGTGCCCCCACACGCTGCCCCTACGCGTGGGGAAGTTTCACTGCCTGGTGGACTTCTTGATAATGACCCGACCCAACCCGTGATTGATCTGATCTGACCCTCCTACCCGACCCGACCTGAACCGAACCGGTCAAGCGTTGACCGTTAACTGTTTTTCCGAAAAACTCCATCTTGACGTTTCTCGACTTCCTGAGTCCGATTCCATAATCCTTTTTGTCAAATTCTGACCCGAAAGCCCCGAGTCTAGCTCGTTAATATAAAAATGCTTAGTATTTTTAACTTTTTTGCTTATTTATTTGAGATTTGATTATGGAATTGATTCGAGAATATATTTTTATGAAGATACTTGTGTTTCACCCGACTGAGGGTCGATTTGATTTGGTGCTTCCCATCCGTCAGATCCGCACGATTCAAATTCCTCGAGAGTTACTTGTAGGTATTTGTTAATTGTTTAAATAGAGATTATTATTAGTATTATTCATATTAGGATTCCGATATGGATTTTTCGATTCGTAGGATCTAGCGCTGTCGTTGATCGTGATCGACAGACTTTGTAATAGGCTTTCTTATCAGACTACTCAGACCGATACATGTGTGTTTCCTAATGGTGTTACATTATTGTTTTAAACTATTCATATGAACTATTTTAGATTTCCGATAATACTGAATATTTTTACGACGTGATACCTGATTTTCTGAATACTATTTATCTGATATCTATTTTACTGTACATTTCTTATATGATCTCTGAGTTATGTATTTCTGTATCTGATTTCTGAGTCTAGAATATTTTCATGTTTTACAAAATTAAACTATCGCTTTCACTCGAATACATACATGTTTATTACTGTCATTGGGGGTATTATTGGAGGAAGTATCTCAGGCCTAGTCTATGACTTGTAAGTCCTTATCGCATGATCCTCGGCTTTCTGCTCAGGGCAAGTCCTTGCCGTTGATCCTTATGCTATGTGTATAAGGCCCTTACCGGGTGTACATATGGGTGTATGGTTCTGGGAAACCTACACATTCTAGTGATCGGATGGGGGTAGTGTTCATATTTTTAAAACATGTTTTATAAATTGATTTTACTAAAATATTTCATCTGTATGTTTTTATGCACCGTAAGGAGCACATTGGGCTTTTTAGCTCATTCTATATACCTTTTTGTTATACTTTGGTGACACTTGTTTTTGCTTCCATCTCGATATATTTGTACTACCGGTATTCTGCTATGTATATGTTTTATACGGTTTTTCTGATACATGTATATTGATATATGGACGTTTATCGTATGAACTTTTCTTATGACTAATTTCATATTATATTGTATATGGATTTGAAAGTTATCTTAAATATGAAAAAAAAAATCTGAATAAGATATGTAACCGCCTAGATTTGGACATAACGTCTAGGCCGGGTCTAGGGGATTACAATAATTTTTTACAAGAAATATAAGTAAATGTTATTACTTACAATACATAGGATGATGATCAAAATATTTTTCCAATTATATTTGTCATTGTTAAGGTCGAAATAGCTTCTAGAAGATAAAATTTGCCTGATATTTAATAGAGCTGGTGGCATCCTATTAGGAATTGAACAATCAAAAAGTCATTGGATGTCTTCGCATGTATATTTCGTACTTTGCATCTTTTATATAGTGACATATTATAACCAAAAGATTTGCTATGAAATTTTAAACATGAATAAATTTTAATTTATGATATTTAATTATACTTACTTATCCATTTAATTGTCATGGTTTTCTCTAGTATTAACTTCATCTTTTGAAACAGGATATGAATTACATCAAGACTCAAGGTTAGACGATCTCAAAGTTTGTGGTAATAATATTTGGAGCCGGGCTAAATATATACATCGACAAGGAAAGATGGACACAATCAAATGATGAAAGTTGGCTCTACAATCATATGGCAATCAACTTTGCAGAGATCATAAATTCAGTGTTAAAAGGGACACATCATCTCTTAATAACAAGTGTGGTGAGAGAGACACATTACAAGTTGAGTAATGTTTGGTATGCAGTTGGGGAGGGCATAAAACCTATAATGAATTATGGTCAGCGATGGACTCCAACGATCATTAAGGAAATGAAAAAGAAATAATGCAATGACAACGTCAATGTTCATTCATAGGTATAGGTTAAATTATTTTGATTTTTTTCAAGTCGATGAGTTAATTAGCATCCATACGAAAGTATGCATGCTATAACATATCGAGTCAACCTTCATAATAGATGGTGTAATTATGGTTGATTTCAGACACTTCTGTACCCTTAAGCTCATGTAATTACAACACTTAGTAATGTTAATGTTGATTCATACGAATATATTAATGAATGCTTTAATCTATAGACGATGTTAAATATTTACCTATATGAGTTTAGAGCGATGACAGATGAAGTCTATTTGGTGAAAGAGGATTGGAATGAATTCATTACTCAGATGTGTTATTTATTGTGTTAGATATATTACTCGATCAATCAATAATACTCCATTCAAATTTATTCAAATGTCTATCCAATTAAAATACATGCATTACATGAAAATATCGTTAGTTGAAGATGCCTTTTAAAGTTACTAATAACTAACGACTTTTTTCTAAAAAGAATTCAAAAAAATTCATCAACATACGATGATTTTATAGTTTCTCAGCCAACATGATAATTTTATGGGTATTTTTACGGCACAACAACTTAATTTAAGGTTAATTAAAGATAATTTCAAACTAAAAGTTTTATAAGTTTGTAATATTTCGGTTACAACCGAAAAGTTATATTGCGAAATTTTTAGACTTACAACTAAAAATATTATGAAGAATGTAACGTTTTCAATTGCAACCCGTCCAACCCAAAAATTCTTTTCTCCAACCTAAGAAGTTACACCCTTGATAAAAAATTTAGTTATTTATGTTAGATTTTAGTATTATATTAACTAGGTGTATTTCTTCAATTTCATTAATTTATTGTTCAAAAAACTCTATTTCCTAAACAATCTTTAATATATCTTATTTTCCTAATTAATTATGTTTTTAATATTTCCCTAATTTAAACTATGTAGGATACTATTTTGATTATTATTGATGTAATTATCATTGGTGTGGCCGTTTCCTAAACACATTATCAGACCAATTATATAGAAATTAAATTAATTATATTATAGTAATATGCGATTATTATTTTTTTACAAAACATTACTCCATAATTTTGTTTATTATTAATAATAATAAAAAATTTCTATTTAACAAATTACACAGAGCGAGCGAGCGAGCGAGAGGTGGAAGAGGGCTGTCGACAATGGCTTCCTCTTCTTTTATCCTCTTCTGCTTCAGTTTATATTATTTTTTCTTCTTATCATGTGCTTCTCAGGCCACCACTAAATTTAAAGGTATAACTTTCTTATGATTTCCTTCTTTTTTCTCATGGGATTTCAACTTTGTGTTTTTCATATGGTTAGTACCATTTTGTCTCAGAGGAAAATTAGGGAAAATGAGAAAAGGGATTAGCGAATTCAGTTTTGGGGTTTTCTCGTTGTTCTTCTATTTGGTTTAGAACCCTGAATCGATTCTGCTTCAATTTATTTGTTTCAGAAGAAAATGTACGGATCAATAAGAATATATGCTTGGCTTCTTGAGAGAAGTGAATCTGGAATTTATGGTTTAAAATATAAAGTGGGTTTATTTTGTCAACTCCAAACTGTAATTATATTAGCTTTAAAATATGTACTTCAAATGCTGGTAAAAGGTAAGACTAAATCCTAGAAGAGGCCTAACCATAGTATGGTTTACATTTTTACGGTATCATTTGCTTCGTAGAAATCTTGTTATTGACTTATATTCTCATCTCTTATAAGTGATAATCAGTTTCCCACAGGTTTCTTTAGGCCGTCCTCCGAAAATTTACAGCTAAAAGTTTTTTTTTATTATAAATTTCGAAGATGAGATGTGCCATGCATTAGGCATTAGGTACTTGGAGGTCTTTATAGCTATGAGGGGAATTTTTAGTGTTTAAGTAAATGTTTGGATTGAATATTGACTTGATGATTTGTTATCTCTTTAATTTTAAAACTGAGCTCTATCAATGTATCATTTAGTTATATCCTATAGAAAGTATACTATGTAATTTTTGAATCGGAGGTGAAGTGGGATTATGCCAGTAACTTGATGGATGTCTTTTAGTTTTCTCTTGCACCGTAGCCATACTTCATCATGGTTTTTTTCAGAGGTTTTAAAATTGCAGGAATTGACTTGGGAAGTACAACTGCAGCATTAGATGTCTACCCTACTCCCCTTTACGGGCATTCATCTGTCCGTAGTTCAAAAGATGTTATATTATGTGACCGAGTTCAACTTTCTGGTCACTCAAGATTGAAACTTAGGAGTTATGCCGATTCTGTTCGGGTTACTTTGGCTCCATCTGTCTTAATACCAGAAAGACTACACAGAAAAATACAAGTTTGCTTTCATCGGTAAGTTTTGCTCTCAATCTACACTTGTGCTGCATGAGATTACTTCAGAAGTTTGTTGTCACCTTTGAAAAAGTCTTGCAGGAATGCTTCACTTGGATTATGCCAGTGTGAGCATGAAAATTGGAGGTCGGTGGAAAATGGTATATGGAACGTTGTCATGTCGCCTTATGACGATAGATTTGTAGATGTGAAGTTTCTAGGTGATGTGTCTGGCTCTATCACGGTTACTGTTGAAGAAGGTATGATTATACGTTATTTGCATTTCTTTTAAAAGAAATTTTCTTTTGCTTGTGATTGTTAGTTCATTGAAATTGAACTTTATTTTCAACCTTGATTTGTTATCTTTTTTGTAGGTATTCAGCGATGGCGGCTTGTTTTTTTAGCTTTAGGATTTGTTTTGTTGCTGTTGGCACCAATTGTCAGCAAGTGGGTTCCTTTTTATTACAGCAGTTCAATGGCTATTGGCGTTATTCTTGTCATTTTGATTCTTCTCTTTCAGGTATCCTGGTGTTCCTCCACAAATTCCTACTGCCTTCGTTTCTTTTAAAATAGCCCTCATTTTTGCTTCCACATTTTTGTTCCAAATCTAAATGCTATCATTTATATCTTATAAATTTAAAGTACCTTACTCTGTTGACTGCTGGAAGATAGTGATTTGTTTTCCATGTATTTTGAAGAACATGATCTGTATTGAAGTTCCAGTTCTATACAACTTTGTAACTGAAACCTGTCTGTTTGACTTCTTAAATATAGCTCAAACTTAAATCAATCGATTTTTGATGTCTCATTAGATGTTCATCGGCTCCCATATGATGACTGGATGACTTGGGAATCTACTAGTTATTTCTATCCTTAAGATTTATGCTGAATTTATGCCAATACCGTCTTAGCTTCAGCTTTTAACTGTGGATTTTCTTTTTCCATGCAGGGAATGAAACTTTTGCCTGCAGGAAGGACAAATATCTTCTATCTTAGCATATATGTCCCAGTGGCGAGTCTTTATTTTCATTTATTTATAGGTTAATTAATGTTTCATCTACTTTGGGTTGGCAGCCAATGTACTCACTGTTACATTAATTTTTCAGCTTGGAGCTGGATCTTTTCTTTTACATCAATTGTCTGGGTTGGTAAATTCAATTCTTATCAATTTTGGCCTCAGTGAAGATATGCACAATCCAGTAAGTTAACAACTGTCCATCAGATCTCCCTCCTTTGTCCTTTCCCCTCACTGGAGTTAATATTTTCAGCAAATGATATTTAATATGGTTCCTTTTATCGTCCCCGACTTATGTGCATATGATTTATTTTCTAATGACTTATTTGTAGTTGTGACCCGTTTGTCTTTAAAAGGAAGTGATGTTTTTAAGGGAACCAAGTAATTTATTTTTGCTTATTTTTGTTACAGGTTGCCATATTTGTATTGGTTGGAATTTTCCTCTCGGGAGCTGCATTAGGGTACTGGATGGTAAGAAAATTTGTGATCTCGAAAGATGGAATCGTAGATGTTGGTGTTGCCGAGTTTGTAAAATGGGCCATGCGCATCATTGCATCTGCGCTTATTTTCCAGGTGTGCTTCTACTACTAACTGTGGCTGTATTACTAGATTATGTAGCAAGTTTTCTCTTCTTTATTTGAAACATCCTTAAAGTCCGGCTGTAGCTTCTGAAATCCATGAGAGGGCTGCTGTTTAACTTTTTCCATGTATTTTGAGGATCCTTGTAGGGTCATATCCCCGTATTGTGTACAAAATATGTATCGGACATGGGTGCAAACATGGATGGATATAGAAAAAAATGGAGTCTGAGCAACATAGCTGGCAAACTTAACACTTTCTTTTAAAAAGGATATCTTAAGTTTATTTTTCCTATCTTTCACCCCTTTTCTACTCTTTCCAGAGCACTCTTGATACTTGGCTGGCGCTGGCGGCATTGGTTTCTTCTTCTGCTATTTGTTTTTTTATTACATCAACAAGAAGGAAAAGTCATTTGTAAGTTAAACTTGATTCCCTTGTTCTTTTCATTTGTTAGTCTATGTTTGTTAATGTCTTTGTTGTGCAAAATGAATTCATTCCACTAACTAGTCACATAATAAGACTGCCCCTGATTTCGGTTCGATATTCGTTATCACAAACTTCGTCTGATCGAAAGCTAAATTCAACAAATGATTGTAAATCGTGGTTTCCATTTATAGCCTTGATTTATTTGAACCATGAATTTGGCATTATGGCTTATGTAGGCACCAACCACATTCTTGGGACAGGAGTCCTTGGGTGCACCGGTCGAGGCAGGGAATGATAAACCAAGGTCGTGCCGAATTTTTTAATAGGGCTCCGAGAATGTATTCTGACAGAAAAATGTGGAATAGACATACTCCGACGACTTCACTGGCATGGACTAGATTTCCTGCAAGAGGTACTTTTGCTTTTCAAGGTATTTCACAGTTCGTAATAGCACAGTTTTCTTGGAGCACCATTTTATTTTTCTTCCTTGCTTCGGGTTAATATCATCGGCTGGTTTGTTTCCTTTTAACGTTTTAGGTGGTATGAATGATCGAGAGTACTATTCTACCTTTCACAAGACACGTAATCGGAAGAAATTCACGAAACAAGAATGGGAAGATTTCAGTCGCGAATCCACCCGGGATGCCATGGCAGAATTGACAGCGACCCCAGAATTCACAGATTGGATGATTGAACATGCTGACAGGATAAAACTCCTTCCATGTGAAAGTTCAGAAGAATCAGTTGGAAGCAAATCGTGTTCATCCGATTATGAAGAGGAGCGGAGCTCGGGCGGGTTCAGATTATTTAACTTGTAGCAGCCGAGGTAGATAATTGATAGTAACTACTGAAACTCTTGCATGAAAAAGGTCATCTTTGGAAATTTAGCCCCAGATTTAGGAATCAGATTCGGTTATGTTACTCGGATTCGATTCAGATCCCGATAATCATATTCGGATATGTGTCGAACAGGATACTTGCAAATACTTAAATGAAAATGAAGGGTCGGAGTAAGGCAGATAAACTGTTGTGCTTTTACAAGTAAATTGGTGGGAAATTTTCTCTAACCATTTGATCGGTGGCAGAAAACCAGTACGATTTTCTGCATAATGTATATAGATGACGCTGAGAAATGAATGAAGTTATTTTTTCCTTTGATTTATTAATTTCCTTTTGTTTAATTATCCAATGATTAATTCAAATTAAGTATTGTAAAATAATATCTTTCTAATCTAATTTATTTTATTTATAATATTATAATTTAAATTTTTAAATATTATTTAAGGAATTTAATGTCTGATTTAGTGAAATTAATTAATTGATGATAATTTTTTTTTCTTAATCTTGTTTTCGTATTTGAGATGTTTATATTCTTTAGTCGGCGACTATATATGGTTTTCTCCTAATCAAATAATATCTATTTAAATAATTAGGCGGAGAATCGTAATAATTTATACTCCGTCCGTTCTATTAAATTTATTATTTATTAAATTTTTATCACTTTTCTTAACTTTTGACTCATTATTATTTAAAATTTGTTATTAATAAAAATATAAAAAAAAATTAAAAAATTCAAAATAATATACAAATTTAAAATTTAATTATTTAAAATATTTAAAATAATCATGGTTAAAATTTAAAAAAATTGACTTTTAAAAAATCAATAAGATACAAATTTAATGAAACGAAATGGAGTATTTGTGAACACATATTAGCATTGTAAAATTCAAATCATTGAATCTGAATATTATTATTATTTAAAATTTGTTATTAATAAAAATATAAAAAAAATTAAAAAATTCAAAATAAGATACAAATTTAAAATTTAATTATTTAAAATATTTAAAATAATCATGGTTAAAATTTAAAAAAATTGACTTTTAAAAAAACAATAAGATACAAATTTAATGAAACGAAATGGAGTATTTGTGAACACATATTAGCATGGTAAAATTCAAATCATTGAATCTGAATATTATTAAAGTTTATGGTAAATTATAAGACAAAACTAGAGAAATAATACAACTGAGATAAAATTTGAAAAATTGGGGTGGTTGAGAATTATTTTGGGATTAAGACCATTTGTTAGGGTGCACGTGAAATTTGTTGAGGCTAATGTGATGAGTTTTATACAATTTTGTTCCATATTATATGATAAGTTTTTTAATATATTTTATGGAACGTGACGAAGTCTACTAGCATTGTATCAAATGGGCTAAATCTCAAAATAAATTTAAAGATGCCTTATTTTTTTTAATTTATTATTCCAGCTCTTTTATTTTCCTAATTTTACCTAAACTATACAATAGTCTCATGATTTAAAGACGTTTTTTCAAGTTTTTCTATTATAAACAATTATAAAATGATTAATGGAGTTAAAAATTAAATTGATTATTTTCATTATAAAAATTAATATAATTAATATAATAATATTTTTCATTAAAAATATAAATAATATAAAATTAATATAATAATAATTTTAGTTATAAACTTCTTTTACCTTATTATAAATTATTCTTATTTTCTAAAAAATAAACCCTCAACATTTGAACCAATAAAATTAGCTGACCATATTCCCATATGTAATGGGGTAAGGGGGATAGGGTAGTATGTTGCCCCCAACGTTAGGTTGAGAGCAACTTCCATGGAAGACCTCCGGCAATTATGAATTGCCCACCATGAGACTCGATCCCACGACCACAAAATTAAGAGCCTTGCACTCTATCAACTGAGTTAGACGAGCAATTCTTGAACCATGCTGATAACACTATCTTAAAATGATAAATTTGAGTATATTAGCTAAATTTAAGTATAAAATATACTAAAAAAATATTAGTAAGATGGGATTCTCCTGACAACACGATCGAGAACTCGGCAAGTGCTCAGATAGCCACAACGATCTCTGATGCTACCAAAAAGGTACGCTTCAAGCCGCCGATTTTGCAAGAAACGAAAGATTTAGAGATGGCGGAAGAGTCATCTTACGCTTTTATCTTCGCTGGATTGTCTGGGGGTGGGGATAACAATGGAGTGAGTCGGTCAGTGGAAGAAGATGATATTGATATATCGGATGACAACCTCATAATCGGAACTCGTTATGACTTGCTATCCATACAGTTCTCGGATCAGGCTTACAAATTGATGGAAGAAAGCATGACCAACATAGTGGTCCTTAAACTCCTCAGCAACACCATAAGTCTTAACGCCCTCACCAATAAGACTTATGCTCTCTGGAAACCAGCTCCCCCTTTACCCTTATGGACTTAGAAAATGGTTATTTCTTAGCGCGCTTTCAGACTGTGGAAGACTACGAAAAAGTTCTCGCCTATGGACCGTGGATTATCTATGATGGAGTTCTGCACCTCTCAACTTTACACTTCCATTGTCAAAGCCTGGATCTGGCTCCCTGGTCTACTGGAATATATGTACAAGAATAGAATCCTTTATGGAATCGGCAGTGGCAAAACTTGATTTTCATCAAGCCACGGAAAACAGAAGAAGGTTTGATAGAATTGTAGTGTACGTAGATCTGAAGGAGCTGCTCGTCTCTCGAGTCGTGATAGGCAACTAGATACAGGCGGTCGCATATGAGAATTTTCCCCTTATTTGCTTATCGTGTGGCAGATTTGGCCATTTAAAAGCTGCTTGTCCTCATACTTCTCAGCCGCAAAACCAGAATGGTTCGGATGTTCCTTATGAAGTCTCAACGATGAATCCCATTGCTTCAATGAATGTTTCGGTGTCAACATCCCACAGCTTCAGAAAACGAGCCTTAAGGCCCATGCATGATGGTCGAAAACTGTCACCGTCGGGCTTTGTGAGAAAGCAGCCGTGGAGGCTAAGAGTGATGAAAGGCCGGTGGCTTGAGTTGGAGAACGACGACTGTGAGTGTTTAGATTTAGATTCAGAAAATAAGAAAGTAAAAGGAAAGAACTAAAAGTATTTTTATTGTAACTACAACTTGTATCAATTACAAACCAAATTTGGGTATTTTATAGCCCAAATATAACAACACAATAACAACTCAAAACAAATTAACAAACTAACAACTAATTACAACTTATTTCTAACATTCACCTTACTTTTTCAGCCTTCTTGATCTTCAGAACTTGACTCGTTCATGAGCAAATTACAATTCATTTCTGACATTCTCCACTTGGCTAGTTTACGATCAAAACTAACCTCTAGACTGCTTGAAGTTGAAGTACTAAATGAAATGTGAGCTGGTACCCGAAAAGAAATATACTTTCCTTTTTTATTCTCTATTATGTTATTTCTTTTCATTTTATTCATCCAAAATTCTTTCAAAAGTCATTTTCCCTTAACTAGGCGGTCTATCGAGAATCGAAAGTGTTATTCTTTCTTTCGTTCTACTTACTCACCTTCATTTTCTTCTTCTAAAAGAAAAATCTTCATCCATAATTTCTTTAAAACTTTTCTTCCTTCTTTAGGATTGTACCTCTTCTCACTTACTGGATTTTCTTTTTGTTGGAAGAAGGTAGTTAAGCTTCGAGTTCCGGAGTGCAATTTGAAGCCTCTCTTGGGGCAAGAAAACACCTTATTTTGTCTTGTTATGGAGGGCAAGGCTGTTAAACTCTTAACTCTCCCCAGATAGTTTTTCTTTCCATGAAAACTTGGTTTTTAAGCCTCAAAGTCTCATGTTAACCTTGTGAGAGAAGCAAACAAGTAACAAAGAAACGCAAGCTGAGATTAACTGAGCAACCCAAATATGTAGTAGAAGTGCCATAATTCAACAGCAACACCAGCTTAGAACCAAATCAAAATGCAACATACAACATACAATAGTTATATGAGAAGCATCACACGTCGACAATAAACACTAACAGTAGTTATGAACAATTACCAATATTTATCAGCAGTAACCCCACTTGGAACTCAGATGTCCAAAATCCAAATATGAAGAACAATGAATCAATACCAACATCATATATCATACCGGCAGTAAAAATCACACTTGACCTCGCTCATGCACAAGATAACAATATTCACAAGTCAACATGCATAACCTTCTGCCTAACCTTGTATAACCAATCATATATGTGTGAACAGTAAGTAAACACCCATTTGAATTCAACCTTGTACCAAACGTCACATAATCATAAGTCACCATTAGAACTAGTAGTTATTTCCCCTTTTCTTTTTCTTTTTCTTTTATTTTTTTGTTTGCAACTAAGAATGGATCAAAAAACAATAATCACAGATTCACCAAATGTGATTTCACAAACGAACAAAGTTAGATCTCACTATAGCAACCAAACACAACGAACGCTGATAGTGGAAGCCATAGCAATGAGCAAGACTCTAATCTGGTTCAGTAAACAGAAAAACAATTCCGATCAATAAGGACTAAAATCGAATAGTAATACATGCCATCAAAGTTAAATGATGGCTGATGAAACAACAAGCTCGAGATATTAGATCTCTCAACGGTACAGATGAAGCTCGCGAGTGAAGAAAATAGCGGTAAATGTGGATGTAGAAAATGCAAGAAATGGAGAGAGGTCAGTGGCCAGACTGCGTAACCGGTAGTGCATGTGAGACTTGCGATGAAGGAAGCGTCGATCGTCGACTGAGAAGGAACCAACAGAGGAAACTTTGAAGCGATTGAGGAACCCGATCAAAGAACGAAACGGAAACAGCAGAAGAAATATGACGTTAGGATATTTGGAGAATGATACCATGTGAGAAAGTAGCTATGGAGGCTGATAGTGACAAAAGGTCGGTGGCCTGAGTTAGAGAATTGCGGTTTGTGGGTGTTTAGATTTAGATTCAGTAAATAAGAAAGTGAAAGGAAAGAACTAAAAGTATTTTTATTTTAACTATGACTTGTATCGATTACAAACAAACTTTGGTATTTTATAGCCCAAATATAACAACCCAATAACAACTCAAAATAGATTAACAAACTAACAACTAATTACAACTTATTTCTAACAAGCTTCAACGGCTATCGCAAAACCACGTAAGAGATGCCATGCCCTGGAGGAAAAGTTAGTAACCCCATGCAAAACAACGATTTCATGTAGATGGAGATCCAAACTATTAAAATGTGGTTACCTTAAATGGATGCAGTTTCTATTTTACTATCAATCCCATTTTTGAAAACTCCTTGGCGGTTGATGGTCAGCATGTCAAAC